AAGGGAGACAAAAGGTAAATAGCAATTCTAATATAAAACAAGCCTCTGCCGCTAAATATCCAAGGCTGTTTGATAAATCAGCTCAGAGTTTTTCAAGGTCACTTCAATCTTCTTTCTTGCAACTTGAACTCCAAACTCCAGCTATCTGTTCAGAAATGAGCTCCTGAATAAACAAACTGCCATGCTCATCTCTATCTTTTCCAATACACAGCTCAGAGTCCTTGATTATAATACAAATTATTGAAAGGAAAAAGAAACAATGTATCCAAGCCTCTGGGTGGCAGTGCTACTAACTTTCTTTCACTTTCATTTCCCCCTCCTCAATCTACAACCAGAAACTAAAAGAAAAAAAAAAGTAAAATCTCCCCCCCCCTTTTTTTTAAAGGGAGAAAAATAAATCTTAAGTCAAGCAGAAGAGTCTTAATCAAAAAACAATTTTCAAAAGGATTGTTAAAAAAAGAGAAAGAAATACTAACAGAAATAAAAAGATTAAAAGTACCAGTCCAGCCTAAAGTAAAACAGTTCAAAATTCCAATAAAAAAAGGGGGTGGGGGAGGACAAAACTTTCACTTTGACAATTAATCACACTGCTCTTTCCTCTTCACTTTTAGTCCACTTTCATTTTTTCAGGGTGTTCTCTCCAAGAAATAATAAATAAAAGTTCATCTCACCAAGCTGACACACTTTCTTCCAATCTCTTCCATTCTGGAGCTATCCCAGCTTTAGCAGCTTGAAAGGCTGCCTCTCCGCCGTTGGCAAAAAGGGCTTTCCCTGGATCAACCAGGGACTTTGTGATATCCCTGGGATCAACAGGACGTGCCCTTGTCAATCACTATCTCTACGGGACGGTTTAGGTCCATGGGGACTGACCAGCAGCTGAGATATCAACGGTAATCCTAGAGAATCAAGATCTCCTGTCCAACCGCCGGGACGCCAGCTCCTCCCTCCCTCCATATGATCTTGTTTCTATGCCTCTGTTTATACAACCCAGGATTGTATTAGCTTTTTTGGCTGCTGCTGCACACTGCTAGGTCATATTCAAGTGATCATCCACTAAGACTCCAAGGCCCCTCTCACAGTTACTGTTTTTGAGCCTAATCTGTGCTTAACTCTTTGTTTTTCCTGCCTAAATGTAAAACTTTGCTTTTTTCTACATTGAAATTCATTTTGTTGGATCGGGTCTATTGTTCAAGTTTGTCAAGATCTTTTTGGATCTTTAGCTTGTCTTCTGGGCTGTTGGCTATTCCTGCCAGTTTAGTGTCATTTGCAAAGCTGGTAGGGAAGGTTGCAAATGGCAATCACATGACCATAATGCACTGCAATGCTATAATCACAAGATGGGCTCAGGCACCCTGATCTCAATTGTGATTGTGGAAACACTATGATGTAATTTGTGGACCAATCACAAGTCCGCCTCATTCAGCATCATAGTGATTTTTGTAGCCGAACAAATGGTCCTAAGTCAAGGACTACCTGTAAAAATAAAGTGGGATAAAAATCTAAAAAGAAATAAATTTTAACTTTAGCTACATGTGCCTATAATGTATTTGTATGTACCAAGTATCCATATTGAAGTGTCATAAAAATTACCATGAAATGGGGACTTCCGGTTTGCAACCTTGCGGCGGCGGCAGGGATTCGCGACCGCGCGATCCCTGCTGCGTTCACCGCCAAGGTTCCCCCGATCCATTTGGATCTGGGGGATATAGCTGCCCCGCAGAGGCAGCTGAAGACAGGGGGGATCCGGCAAGGGGCTTGGGGGTGTCGCAAACCCCCTCCCCAGCCGGCTAAACCCCCTTTTCCCGAGGCGGAGGAACGGCGGTCAGCAATTGCCGCCACGAAGAAAGCTGCAGCCGGACAAGCAGGTGCAGGAGGGAGGAAGCTGAAAGAAAAGTGAAAGTTGATTCTAACCGGGACAAGACGGGAGAAAATGACCTGGAATCTTGAAGGCTGCTAAGTATATATTGTTCCCTGTGAGAGTTTTAAGCTGCGAATATTCTAAAGGGGAAAGTTTTTTCTTTGTTCTACTCTCCTTCCTAAAGTGACAGCGGAAAAAAACAAAAAAAACCTTTTTGGCTGTGAGTGGGAAGGGAGAGTGAAAAAAAGAATCAGAGCAAAATTTGAAAATAAGGAGAAGATTGCCTAGAATTACAAAGAGTTTGAAAAGGATTTGTGATTACTTTAACCCCAGAAAGAGAAAGTGAAGAAGAAGAAGGTATCTAAAAGAAATAGTCTGTTTGGATTGTTTGGTGACTTTGGAACCTTTGGAAATTACTTCTGATTAAATCATCTGGGTGGTTGTTTGGAAAAACTTTTTCTCTACACAATGGCATCATCTATGGATGAACTGGAACTTATATATCAAAAATTTGAAAGAGAAAAACAAGGAGGGGAAGATGGTCTTGACACTATTTTTCAATACTTAGAAATGGCGGTTTATACTTATGTGAAGCAGAATGAGGATGATGGGGACAAAGAAGAAGGAGAAGCCATCTTTGATGAACAAATGACTTTGACTGGAGAAGAGAAAAAGCAAGAGAAAAAGGGGAAAAGGTCTTTAAGATCTGGAAAAATAGCCCAAAAAGAGAAGAATAAGGTGAAAAGGGGACATTATGTTAAGAAACAACAGAAAGGGGGAAAGAAGAATAAAGGTGAGGTGGAGAGACAAGGGGTTAAAGAGGACAAGGAGAAGAAGAAACAAGAAAGAAAGGAAGGGATGAGAAGTCCTAATGGTGGGGAGCAAGATGTTAAGAAGCAATTTTTTTTTAGAGATAATGGATAAGCTTTATGGTTAAAGGGATTCTAGAAAGGTACATAAGATTGCATTTTTATACTTGTATTTAGAAGTAAACATAGAAAATTAGAAACAATATGTAACCTAAAATGTGATAAAATATTTAACATAAATTAGTGAAATTTTTGGTTAAGAAAAGGGAGTACTGTAACGAAACATGATTCAAGATTGTGATGTGGGGTGGGGGGGGATAATAATCTTTGAAAAGCATAAGTGTTCCCACAAAGGCATGATATTTAATTGAAATGGATAAAATGTTTAAGATATAAATGATTGTTAATATTAATGATTAGAATATGGTATACTAGCGAAATTTCTTGTGAAATGAGAATTGAAGTAGAAGAAGGAGGTACTTTTTAATGAAATAATGAGCTATAATATATGATGAGGGATATAATATATAACTATATAGTATAATTTTAGAATGTACCAGACAGAATCCCAATATATGTCATGTGTTTTATATTACGTATTATAAATGTAGGGGAAAGAGATAAAGGCATCATACTCCATATAGTGTACAGGAGAAGTTTTTTCTTTTTTTTAAAGAAGGAAAATAAAGGGCTGGCTGGAATAGAACAGACAAAGAATAATAAATATTATGATATGAATTGAGAGGAGATAAATAAAATAAAATAAAATTGAGAAAATTTAAAGGAGAGGAGAAGACATATAGAAAACTGAAAATGTTAATAAGATATGAAATGGTATGTAAAATGAATATGAATTTGAATTTGTGTCTGTACCAAGAGTTTTAACCCGGGACTAACCAACTTTCAGATAAGAGATTTTTTATGCTTTTATGTTTTGTTTTATGTGTATCTATGTATTGTTTGTCTTGAAAATAAAACTTGTTTAAAAAAAAAAAAAGAATATGTTATCTTCTGCTTACCTATGTACCAATAAACATATTTCCTGAATTTAAAAAAAAAAATACCATGAAATGAAGATCAAGGATCATGAGAATTATCATCCAAAATTCTGGAAAACCCAGCATTAGAAAAGCTGATCCGTTATATTCTTTTTGAAAAACCAATAGATGCCATGTAATTTCTAGATTTTGTATATGAATTAATGGGATATTAAATGGTTTGATTAATGAAGCTCGCAATGTTTCCTGTGCAGAAATAATCATTATTTTAAGGCTGTTGACACAGACAATAATAAAAAATTCAAAAATGCAAAATACAAAAAAGATAGCAAATTGAGGCAATTTATGTTTTATTATTATAAAACATAATAATTTTAGTTTAAGGAAACATAATTTTATTGTATAACCTATTCTTAGCAAACTCAATAACATTAACATGATCAAAGCAAACAAAATAACCTAGTATGTAAAAAATAATGAATTTACAAAGTTAACAATAAACATGATGGTTATCCATTCAAAATTAAGCAAACGAAATTAAGGGCCAAATACACACGCTGGAATAAGACTGCTTTGATCTTTTTATGAAATGTTAGCAAGATCAAGGTCATCTTTACCTCTGGGGGACCTTGTTCCACAAAGTAGAAGTAACTACCAAAAAGAACTGCCAATCCTTGCCCCATGGACCACATGAGGAATATGAACCTACCACAGGCCTATTTTTTATTTTTCTCCTACAACAGGAGAGAATTCCATTCTGGCAAGTTCTTGCCTGATATATCCCATGATGTCTTTTAAAGATAACAACCAGTATTTTGAATTGGTTTCAGAAGCTAACTGGCAACCTAAGCAGTGACCTCATATTAGAGTTTATTCTAGCCTGATGAGATTGACCCCTCAGGAGTATAGCATCTGTATTTTGTTCCAGCTGTAATTTCAGGTTATATTTAAAAGACAGCTCACAATGTTTAATAGATTAATTCTGATAAGTTATTAAAAGAATTAACATTCAAATCAAACACTATTTTATTGGAAGGCAAGATCCTACTGTTAGATGGATTAAAATCAGTTTGAGAAAATGATTGACAAATGGTCATTGAGAAAGAGGATTTGAATTTATATTTCAGTTTTCAAGACTTGGGTTTCACATCCTCTGCCCAAAGTAGAAAAAAAAACTATATATAAAAAAGTATAGATTATATGATTGAAGAAACTGGTATACATGATTAAAAATTGGAATAACTGCAGTGAATATTGGAATAACTGCAGTGAAAAACAAACTATGTTTATTTATTAAGAATTACTGCATTTTAAATTATTACTTTATTCTTTCAGTGAAAAAAGTGTTCAGTCTCAAGAAAAAGACAAAAATGGACAGCCACTTCTCCTTCTTAAAGGATCAACTATTAGCGTTCGCAGTTTTGGGCAGCTGTCTCACTTGCTCTCTATTGCTGGGAAAAAAAGACTAAAAGAAGCGCAGGCATGTCTTGAAGGTATTCTGTATACTCTTCTTTGAAAATCTGGATATTTCTAGATTACATGATGATTAAAATGCCTGTTCCCAGTTCTTGCCTTGTTTGGCCTTATTCTATTTCAATAATTAGTTCAGAAGGAGAATGTGTTGCTACTCAAACCTTGGAGAGGTAATTTATTTATGTTTATTTTATTATTTATTTATTATTTTATTTGGTTTGTCAATTGCTTACAAGATAATAGGTATAAGTAAAAACATAGTTATGAATACATGAATACATATAAGAAAAATAAAAGAAACAATAGGACAGGGATGGTAGGCATGTTGGTGTGCTTATGCACGCCCCCTAGAGACCTCTTAGGAAAGGGGTGAGGTCAATAGTAGACAGTCTAAGGTTGAAGTTTTTGGGATTTGGGAAAGAAACCATAGAGTCAGGTAGAGTATTCCAGACATTGACCACTCTGTTGCTGAAGTTGTATTTCCTGCAATCAAGTTTGGTGCGATTAATCTTGAGTTTGTATCTGTTGTTTGCTCTTGTATTGTTATGGTTGAAGCTGAAGTATTCATTGACAGGTAGGACATTGCAATGTATGATTTTATATACTATACTTAGATCGGACCGAAGGCGGCGTAGTTCTAGGTTTTCTAGGTCTAGAATTTCAAGTCTGGTGGCATAAGGTATTCACAATGAGTAGAGGAGTGGAGAATTCTTCTTGTGAAATATTTCTGGACTTTCTCAACTGTGTTAATATCAGATACGTAATGTGGGTTCCAGACTGATGAGCTGTATTCGAGTATTGGTCTAGCAAATGTTTTGTATGCTCTAGTTAGTAGTGTAATATTACCAGAGAAAAAGCTACATAAGATTAGGTTAACAACTCTTAATGCCTTTTTGGCTATGTAGTTACAGTGGGCTCTAGCACTTAGATAATTAGAGATGAGTACTCCAAGATCCTTGACAGAGTTTGGATCATCAACAAGGTCTTGACTATTCAGCCTGTATTTTATTTTCTGATGTTTTTTTGCCAATATGCAAGACAGAGCATTTATTTGTTGAGATTTGAAGTTGCCATTTGTTTGACCATTCTGACACATAGTTGAGGTCTTTTTGAAGGGTAGCAGCATTGTCAGTGGTGTTGAATAGCTTTACATCATCAACGAAGCAGTTGCTCTTGATATGATCACAGAGGTAATTTATGTAGAGTATGAAGAGAGTTGGGTCCTAGAACACTGCCTTGGGGGACACCATTGTTGACAGGTACTTAATTTGATAGGACGCTCCCAATTTTGACCATTTGTCTGTTTGACAGGAATGCTTCCATCCAGTTATGCAGTTGTCCAGAGATACCATAAGATTTTAGTTTTAGGAGTAGTTTGTCGTGTACCACTGAATCAAAAGCTTTACAGAAGTCTATGTAGATTGCATCTATTTCTTTACCCTGATCGAGTTGTGTAGTCCATATGTTTTTGCAGTGTAAGAGTTCAGATTGCAGGATATTTTTTTTCTGAAACCAAATTGTTTATTAGAGAGTAGGTTGTTTGTCTCTAAGTGGAGGATAATGGATTGGTTAATAATTGATTCCATGACTTTACAGGTGACGCAGCATAAGGAGATTGGTCTGTAATTTTCAACTAGGCTGGGGTCTCCCTTTTTGAAGATGGGGATGACTGTGGCTTGTGACCATAGTTTTGGCAAGGAGCTGGTCCTGAAAGATTTTTCGAAGATTATGCTTAGAGGTTCAGCTATGGTAGTGGATAGCTTTTTTAAGAAATAGGCACATATTCCATCTGGTCCAATAGATAGAGATGGTTTTAGATTGTGTAGTGCTTTTTCAACATTGTCTACTGTAAAATCGATATGTATTAGATCATTGTAGTTGTCTGTGGTTCAACTAGGAAATAATGGGCATGATCCATTGCTGTTTACAAATACTGAGCCAAAGAATGTGTTAAAAAGGTTGGCTTTAATAGTGTCGTTGTTGCAGTCTTTACCATTAGGTCCTTTCAGGGGTGGGATGGACCTTGAGTCTTTTAGTTTGTTGTTTACAAAATTGTAGAAAGTGCAGGTGGAATTGGTGCGTAGAAGGTTCTCCTCTTGTTTAATGTGATAATTGGTGCATTCGGTCTTTATCTGGTGGCATAAATTTTTGCATCGGCTTTTGAAGTTGCAACGTAACTAGATTTGTTTTTCCATCAAAGTGATCTCTTTTTGGATTGAAGCTTCCTTATTGTTATGGATAATCTGTTTTTTCTGGTTTTTGAAGTTGTTATTGGTACATATAGTTTGATGACTCTTTTGACCATGTAAAAATATGTTGTAATTGTCTTCAACAGTATTGCATCCAGTGAATAGAAATTGCCAATCAAGGGATGAGAGATCATGATTCAAAATCATAAATAGGCTAAATGATGCTAAAATGAGATGTTTTACAATTAATGGGTTAATTTTTCATTCAAATTCATATTTATTTGTAATTAACCAAGACCTTCAAAAATTCAATCTGAGTTTTTTATATAATGTAAATTACTTATAGCTAATAGAGATCCCATTATGAAAATTCTTGGCCCTGGATATGGAACAATTGAAGGAGAAGATTTGTCCATGCTTCGTTTACTAGACAAAATTAAAAAGGATGATGCATCAGACAATGAAATTAAAATGAAAATTTCCCTACTACTTCAGCAATTGGATATGCAGTTGCTCAACAGCTCGCTGAAACAGATATCACAGTGAGTATATTTCAGATAATATTAGTTTACATAAAGTGGGCAAATCTTATACTTTTACATTTTTTAAAATAAGATTTATTTTTGTGATTATTAACTGTAAATTCAAATAATTCCCAATAATTTAGAAAAAGAAAGTCATAGAAAGTAATTTTGAATTTGGTGCTTCTGCAGTTTACTCTTCAAATATTGTCACATACAGGCTTTCATCTGAGAATAAATTAAGAAAGTACATACAAAGATTTCTGCCTTGCCCTTTTGCCTTCCTCACAAGTATTTTGGGGACATTGGGTGCTATCATAAAAAAATTGTCAGAGGAAAAATGGAAGGTTGTCAGAAAACAGGAATTTATTTTTCCACAAATATCCACCTGAAGTCTAAACCTAATTTTTGGTAGTTTCCTCTTTGCCCAACAGCCCTTGATACTCTTTCCCAAACCAAGTGGTCCAGTGTTAAGTATGAGAATTTCTGCCTTAAAGCTAATTAGCCAAGCAGTTAATAGTCTTTCTGTGGTATATGGAATTGCTTTGAAAAAGAAACCCAACATATTCTTTGATTGAATCTTTAAATATTGTTAGAATGTAATTAATTTATTCTAATTACAGAGAAGTGAGATTAACACCAACTGCTGTGAAAAATGAAGTAGAATTGCTTAAGCATTTCTCTGGGCCAATGGAAGATGCAGTCCTTGAATCACTAGACTATATATCAGGTTCAAATTGTGCTTTTTTATTCTTATAATTTTTTAAAAATTGTATATTAAATTAAATAAAAGATAGACTCTCAAACATTTTGGGTTCATGAGGATAATGGAGAATTTGATAAATTGACAGGAGTTTCACCATAAACTGATCATGTTAGGGAAGAGGGAAGTTAACAATTTTTATGTATTTATATTTATAATTTTTAAACCCACTTCCACAGACTGTAACAGGGAAAATAGCTATCTACACAGTTCTGATCTTTGTACAGTATAGAGATATTATGACATCTGAATATATTTTCCAAGGCTTTCTTTGCTATTCTACAATTGCTAGTTTATGGCATATTTTTTAATTGCTTGGTTCTTTTATTCTTGATAGTTGATCCTAAAAGGCAGAAATTTTCAACAATTTCAATATTTTCACAACCAATTCTAAGACTGGTTGCTATACCTGTTATCGTTTATCTCTGTTTATAGCTCCCCCCCCCCCCATCTCATTCTTGTCTCTGGACAGTGTCACAATTAAAGCATAAAGCCAAACAGTGGAGTAATTAAAACAAAACTATTAAAATATGGTTATAATCCATAATATAAACTAGGAAAACTTTCAGACAATGTAGCCATTTAATGGGTTCTATACTTCCATGGATCCCCAGACCTGATGACTTCACCCAGTATCTTTTATATGGTTAATGTTAAATAAGAGTGGAGAGCTTGGTGGCATGCCACATATTAGGGGTGAGGGAATAATCTCTCATTGCCAATAAATACTGACTGGAAGGAAAAAAAACAGCACAAAAAAACAGCACATCCAGTTCCCGAGGCTGCTCGAGATGGATACCATGATTGATGTATCAAAAGCTACTGAGAGGTCATCCTTGATCAAGGATAGATGCATGACCGCTACCTTGTTCTCATTAGAGGCCACCAAAAATACAGTTGATACTGTCTCTGACCCATGCCCAGATCTGAAACGTAATTGAAAGGGGCTGAAATAATTTGCTTCATCTAGAATTCTCTGAAGCTTTTGTGCCACCACTTTCTCAGCGATCTTCCCTAAAATGAGAACATTGAATATTGGGCGAAGATTGTTCAGTATGGTGGAATCTAATCAGGGCTTCTTGAGGAAAGGGCGAGTAACACCTTTTTGAGGGTTGGAGGAACAACTTCCTCTCTTAAAGAAGAATCCACCATCTCCAACCACAATATATTAATGTAGCAGTCTTATCCAGTCAGGAATATATAGATCTAATGAAGAGGTAACTGAGCTCACAATAAATGTAAATCTAATAAATAATTAGTTCTCCCTTTTTTACTTGTAAATTTAGTTTTGTTTTTTTCATTAACATCATTGAAAAGAACTTGCAGATGTATTTTCAGTTATCAATATGGTTTCATCAGCATAGCACAGTTTATTAAATGTTTCTTCCTTCAGTATTAAAACCACCCTCATATCTTTCCAATACAGTTCCCTAATATGGCACAAGACATAGAGGTAACCCTGACATATCAACCACCTCGTTCAGCAACCATTTTAAGTTATAATAAAAATAATCATTAACCTCATTTATGACTTTTGCAGCATCTCTCAGGCACATGATCACCATTACAGTCAGTATGCACTGTTCTGTGCCTGATGTATTGTTTTTCTTGTGCCCCACTCTTTGCAGAATAGAAAGATTGGAGAGGAAGGGATAACAAAAGAATAACACAATGGGGAATACACCAACCTGTTTGAATAGAGTGCTCATGGCTGTTGGTATCAGCACTTGATTTCATTGTGCATTCCCCGTTGTGTTCCTGCTTAATCTCTTGTAATCTTTTCCTCTCCAATGAATCCAAATGGTACAATCATTAATTCCCTTTCTGTCAATTTTCCTAGAGCCAGAATGAGCATTCCAAAGGTTGGGGGAGTGGGGAAAAGGAAAGTGCAATTACATTCACTGGATTTCCCCCTTAGTTATGATTTTGTTCAATGATGAAGTTGCTAGTCCCATTTGTGGTCCCTGTGAGGGTTATCTGCAGATGCTTCATGCTCAGGCATGGTATATTACCCATTTTACTTGATATTGTTAATTTTTATTATGCAGGGTCTCTCAAATTGTTATGTTAATTTTTGGCAATGCTTGGACAACTCACTGCAGGTTTTTTTTTTGCAAGATTTCAGAAGTGGTTTGCCATTGCTTCCTTCCTAGACTGACTAGCCCAAGGTCAACAAGTTGGCTTTGTGCCTAAGGTGGAACTAGAATTCATGGTTTCTATCCTGATGGCTTACATCAAATTGGCCTTCTTTTTTATTAATATGATTGACTGCATATGAAATGTTTCATCTGCACTAATATCACAGTGGAAGTTTATTTACCACCTTTTTTCCTCTATTGTGTAAATTAAAGGGGACTAAAACATTGCTCTTGTTTTTTCAGATTATGAATTCTTCAATGGATGTCGTGCCCCACCTTGGAGACAAGTACATGGAGAAATTTGCTATTTATCAATTAAACCACGTGATACAGATGTTATGTTTGTTACTTGTAGCACAGCAGGAATATTCTTAAATGGTGTAAGTAATTAAAGCAAGGCTTTGTGGCATTTATTTCAGAGATTGGGTCTATAAATGTTTGCTTACTGGTTAAAATTGTTGGGTTACTTGGAAGTCACTAACATAAACACTTTTCTTTTAATAAGACATTTGAATGCATAATTATCTTAGGTTTCAATTTTTGCACCCAAATAATTTTGTGATGGTTCTGTCCACCTACATTCCATTCCTGCTGTTGCTTTCTATACTGATTTATGCTATTTGTTTTCTACGGTAGTTATGAATTAGAATACAAATTATTTTCTTGTATTACAGCATTTGTGATTGTGAACTGGATTACCTTTATGCATATAGAGAAATAATATAAGACATTTTAATATAATGAGCTATAATGCTGCTGAGAGAAATAAGGATTATAATTATGTGATAGTATTGAAGCAGAAGAAAATAAATAATATTGAAAGCAAAATGATAGCTTCATTCACATTACATTTTAAGAGACGTTTCAGAATAGAATGGATTGAACCAACTTAAATCATGCCAGAGGTGAAGGTTGCAATATGTAAACCACCTGGAAATAAGTTCCATTAAATTCAGTGTGACTTACCTAGAAATGAATATAACTCTATGTTTCTAAAAAATGTGTGGATCAGTTTAAAATTATTAAAACTTGGTTTTCTTATAGGGAAGAAGCAATGAGAGAGATGAAATTGATTATGAGAGGAAAAGTGACATATATAAAGATCTTGTCACATTTTTAAGAGAACGATCAGCAGTATTTGTAGAAAATATGGTTAAGCAGGTATGTATTTCTTGTTATTATACTTCTAGTTCTCATCTGTATGGTGAATAGCTTGAAAGCTTGCATATCTTAGTTCTTTTTATGTGGCTTTGTATCTTATTTTGGTTTGGTCTGTTTTTGCAATATATATTTATACATGCACAAATACAATCACACATTGGCCAAGTTAACACATATTAAGTCACAGTTTGGTTGTTTGGTTTATTATGTTGTGTGAATGTTGGATAAAATGCAAGAAGTCTCAGGTTCTAGTTACCCTCATCAGTGGAACTCACAGAGTGACTTTAGGTCTCTTTCTCAGACCTCGTATAAGGTTGTGGGAGGGAATATCTGTAGAGAGCATTATGTGTACTTGAACTCAGTAACCCCCAAAATGGCATGTAAATTCAATAAAGCATTGTTAAACAACTATGAGTCAATGAAACATGTAAGTCCACCAATAGGTTCTTTGATTAAATTCTTTTGGTGATTTATAATATATATGGAAACCAATTTTAATTGTATCAGGTACATTGCCCAGAATTAATAGATCTGACTGATACTTAAATTCTGCTAAATAGTCCTTGTTATATTACAGACTGCCTTACTTGTGCTTTTATAAACATGAGCACAGTGATCAAAAATTATATTTCAACGTTTTATTTAGATGATATAATGCTGAACTAAGTCACAGAAGTGAGAATACAGCAGATAATATAAGAGATTATGAAAAGCTTTAAAGAAAATTAGAACTTTTTTGATGATGAAAATCATTGGTAAATACAATACTCATTTCATTGTTGAAAGTAAAATGTAAGAAAGTATTTTGAATGAAGTTATTAGGAACCAGTTTTTAAATATTTTATCTATAATATTTTTTCATTTGTGCATGAACCATAGAAAATATCTATGGCTGGCTCAGGAATTTATCTCTAAGTCTGGAATGTTGCCAGTAAATTTATTTCCTAGATCCTTAACACACTTATTTGGAAGCTGTTTTGATTTTAATGGAACTTATTTCCAAGCTTAGGTCTGCAGCAGTTGGCAAAAAGTCTCTGCTCATCTTTCTACACATGTTTTTCCTTTAAGCAGTAGTATAATTTTAAAGCAGGAAAATATATTTTAACAAAAAAGATCAACTGTCTTTGACAATGCTTTAAATAATCAGAACCATTCCTCTTTCTAACTTCATCTCTTATTATTTGAATAAAAATATTCATTATTTTTCAGCTTTCTTTGATTTCAGCGTTAGGGATACTTTAAACTGACACAGCACGCATAGCTGTTACAATGTTGCAGCTTTAGTACTTAAATATTGCTGGCAAATCAGAATAATATTTTTAATAAAAGATAGCAGTTATAATGGCATTTATGGCAAATCATTTTCTTCATATTTTTAGATGTTGCATTTTAATAGAAACATTCATTGCAAGTAAGCTAAAAATGGCTAAATTTTTGAGGTAAGGGAATAAAATGCTAACTCTTATAATCCATAGAGAAATAATGACATCATCAATAAATAAAAATCTAAAATAAACTTTACACTGACTGCACACTGACTCAATTAAAAGGGAAGAGGTGTTTCATAGAGCATGGAAATCCTGTTGCGAGTGTTTGAATAACAATAAGAAAAACAAAATTCATACAAGTAGTAAGGATTTATTGTAGACCTGAACAAGCCAAAAGTAGAGATGAGGAGTGTTGTGTCAAATGACTAAACATTTAAAGGAGCTCTAAATTGTGACAATAGGAGATTTAAACTTCACTGACATCAGCTAGAAATGTTAACTCTGCCAGAGTCAGAAGTCCAACTAATTTCTGTCCTTGCTGACAACTTCATTTGTTAGAAGATGGAAGAAGGAACAAGGATTTACTATCTTGAATATAATTTTTACTAATAGACATATATTTTAAATAACTGGGGTTGCTTTCATGGTAGCAAGGGGAGGAAGAAGAGTCTGACTTGTACACTGGGCTTCACAATAATAAATTTAAATAGATAAACAGTAAATTTAAACAGATGGTAGGCCAGTTTCGATGTCTTTACATCCAGAAAAAGAAACGTATTAGGGAAGGATGAGAGATCCTCTAAAACATATTATAGTATAGGTATATCTGCAAACAATTTCTGTTTGAAAGAAAAATGGAATATATATATTGGGACGATTGTGAATATACATAGTACTTTCCGAATTGATACAAAGAAATAGACTTGTATAGCAAATAGCCAGGGGTTTTTTATTCAAAGAAGGATACAAAGCAGTTGTCAGGTCCGGTAGGGATTGAATAAAAAAACATAAAGTGAACAAATGCCCCAAAGAACTCAGAAAACATTTTCAGGAACATCAGAAATAAATTTTTGGTAACAGGTGATGACAAGAAGAAAGCATTCTTAGCGTGTCTTTTATGTCTGCTCTAAGAAGGAAAACAAAATTTTAGTTGGCCTCACTTCTAATAGAGGATCCTATCAGATTAATCAAGGAAAAGGTAAAATATCTCCTAACAGGTAATTCAATGAATTTATGTCTCCAGGGTCAAATGAATTGCATCCTATCATACTGAAAGAACTAGGAGAAGGGATTTCAGAAGTACTTATTTTATTTTTCGGAAGTCCTGGACAAACCTAGAATACTGAAGGAGAGTAAATGTTAACCCTGTTTTCAGAAAAAGGAAAACACGGTTTTCACAACTCGATAACTATTCTGGCCAAGGTCTTTCAGGAGATAATTAAACAGCATATTTGTGAGCACTTAAATAGAAGTGTCACAATTAGGAAGTTAGCTAAAGATAAACAAATTAACCTTATCTCATTTTTGACAAAGTTATTAAGTTGCTTAAATTGGGTGAATATTGTGTGCCTTGTTTTTACCAAGAAACACGAAAGTAATAAACTAAACAGGGAAGACAAAATGGTCTCATAACTAAAAATGATGAAAAATGGCTGTGAATAATTTAAATAGCTCCTTGTTGAATTGGGAGGTAGAATTGAATCAGCTATGTCTTGGGCATATTCAAAAATTTTATTAGTGACAAGGGTGAGGGGATGATAATCAGATGTACAGATAACATAGTGCTAAAAAGTATAACTACTCCTTTGGAAGAGTAAATAAAGATTAAAAGAAATGAGCTTGTATAATTAAATGAACAATATGAAATTCAGCATGGATAAATGTAATGTCTTTCATCTGGGGTGAAAAAATGAATGATAGAAATATAGAATGGCAGAGATCTGGCTTGGTAGTAGTACATGTGAAAAGGATCTGGGTATTTCAATAAATTGAATTAAATATGAGCTAAAAGATTATGAACTGAAAAATAAGTAATATTCTGAGATTTTTTTTAAACAAATTTTATTAATTTTCAAAGACAATACACAGACAAACAAAACATAAAACATAAGAACATAGAACATCTTTTCTAAAAACTGCTTAACAAAACAAATAAAACATCTTATTTAAGTACAACATAATTCTAAATTATCACATTCCACACACAATTTAATATGCATCTTATATATTCAACTTCATATCTTATTACTCTTTTCTAACTTCTCACTGTTTCTTCCTTTATTTCTGTTCAATTTTATTCATTAAACTTATACTTTCATCTATTTCATATTACTATATTTCGTATTATTACTGTTTCATATGTTCTTATCCAACATCATTAATCCTCAATAAACAAACATAAACAAACAAAATACATAACATAAAAACATAAAACTTCTTTTTAGAAAGCGGCTTAACCGCGGGTTATAACTTTTTGTACAGACATAAATCAAATTCATGCTCGCCTTATATACTATTTCATATCTTATTTAACATTCTATATTTTCCATATGTCTTCTCCCCTCTTTTCACTCTCTTAATTCTATTTTATTTATTTAATCTCAATTTAAATCATTATACTTGTATCTTTTGTCCGTTCTTTTTCAATTATCTATTTATCTTTTCTCTTTAACACAAACTTTTTCCTGTAATCACTGGTTGAAGTATGACACCTTTCTATCTTTCCCCCAAATTTAACACTTAAAATAATATATAGTTTCTATTCTGATTCTGCTTAGTACATTCTACATAACATTTTAAAATATAAAACATAATGAGCTTATAGTATATTAAAAATAATATTCCATAACAAATTAATTAATTAAACTCTATTAATTAAATCTTAGACATTTTACACATTCCCTACTATTAACACATATGTTATTCCAATTTTCTAACTCTATTTCAAATACAAATACTACAATACAATCTTATGTACTTTTGCAGAATCTCTTTTTAGATTATATTTTACCCTTTATCTCTGAAAAAAACCTGTTTATTAGCATCTTGTTTTAAGCCTTTATAACTTCCCTTCACTTTTTCCCTTCCTTGTCAAATCCAGCCTTTTTACCCCCCCCCCCCTCAATCTCCAGCCTTTTAGTCTCCCCTCTCTGTTGTATTCCTCTTTTCTGTTGCTTTCTGACATATAGATTTTTCACCTTATTTTTCTCTTTCTTGGTTGTTTTTTTAGAACTTAAATTCTCCATTTTCTTTTCCTTTTTACCCTTTTCTTTCTCATTTAAAATCATATGTCCATTAAAGATGGCTTCTTCTTCATCATCCCAGCCTTCTTCTTGTTGCATTTCCTGATAAGTAGAAATCGCCATTTCTAAGAAGCGAAAAATAGATCCAAAGGAGCCCTTGCCTTCTTCTTCCTCTTCTTTTAACTTTTCAAATTGCATTTTCAGTTCTTCAACAGATACCATTGTGAAAAAAGTTTTAAACAATCCAAATGTTTTCTTAGTCTTTCAAAAGATAGTTCACAAAAGTCCCAAAGTCATCAAGCAATCAAAGTCAGCACAATCAGCACAGTCTGTTTCATTTAGCACTTTCTTCTACTTTCTCTTCCTGGGGTAGAATTCAATTACACAATTCCAAGGTATTTTTGGGAAGTTTTATTGCAATTTAATCTCTGATCTTATAAAACTCCAAGCAATCTCCTTCAACAAACCTTGGTATAAATCATTTACCTCTCTTCCTTCCCACTTAAAGCAAAAAGATTTTAATTTTTAAATGTCAGTGTTTAGAAATCTAATGTCCCCTTGGCTTTAATTTTCAAAGTTAGTACCTTCTGCTGCCAAAGCGGGTATTTCTGATTTCCATCTGCTGTCTCCGTAGGGAAGGAGAGTGAGGAGAAAAAAAAGCTTTCCCTTTCACTTTCCACTGCAGCTTTACGATCTTCTGGGAAACAATATATCACTTAAAGAGCCAAAGTTCCAGGGTATTCAGATGTTGATTGTCGTCCTGCACAAAACTTGTCCGGCTGAGAAGTTCTTTGTGGCGGCCATTGCTGACCGCCGCTCCACCACCTTTGGAAAAGGGAGTTAAGCCGACTGGGGAAGGGGGGTGCGATATCCCCAGACCCCTGCCCAGATCTCCCCTCTCTTCAGTTACCCCTACAGGATAACTATAGCCTCCCAATCCAATTGGATCGAAGGCACTCAGGCAGCGAGCGCAGCAGGGATCGCGCACAAACGCGAATTCCTGCCGCCTCCGAAGCCTGACAAACCAGAACTCCCTATATTCTGAGATTTATTGACAGGAAAATATTTAAATAGAGACTGGACAGTCATTGTTTAAAATCAGATTATGCACCAAACTGGGAATTTTCTTAGACAGGATGTTCCAGCTTTATGATTTTATAATTATGTTTGCCACCTTGAAGGAGGGAGGGAGGGAGGAGGGAGGAAAGGAAAGAAATAGATAGACAGACAAACAGACAGACAGACATTAACTTTGTCTCACTTTTTGACAAAGTTACTAATTTGGTGGAATGCTATGTGCCTTATTATTATTAGATAATTTAAAAACACCATCCATTCTTATGTTTAGTATTTATATCAAATATTGATATCAAAATGTAACAGAAGAAAATATATTTAAAATAGTTATATATAACTTAGTTCATTATAGTATTTCAGAAAAATTCAACATTTGCAGCCTCAATTTTATGAGACTTAAAACAGTTTCCTTGCTAGCCTTAAGTATCCCATGGAAAATACCAACTTCCACTTGTTGCATAGGCAAAGAAATTGAGATTTTCTTGGTAGGTAAATAACACATTCAATATTACAATATAATGCATATTCTAGTAAAACCCTTAATATTTAGTGCAGTGTTTATTTTCAATAAGTGGCTCACATTTGTTTGTGTTACAGATTTTTCCTACAGATCAATCCTTTTCTTTTGAACAGAGGTTTAACATTTTAGTAGCAAAGTGGTTATCTACATAAATATCTGCTATGCAGCAAAAGTTATTTAATATCAATATATTCATTTTTAGACCATTAAGTAGGACTTTAGCTAATAATTGTGTTTTTTTAAAATACAGAATTTTTAATCAAAAATTTTATTTAGTTTCCCTATGGCTATCTTTTTTAAAATCAAGAATTATGATTGACAGCTTTTATATGCTAAGAAAATCAAACTACCTAGCTATCCTCTGATTTACTAATTTCTTAACATATTTTACTCATTTGGAAATATGACTTTTTCCTAAACATTTTCGTCTTTTATTAGAAATATACATTTTTTGATGAGCCAAAGTATGAAAAGCATTATCAACATATGGAAGCAGTTGAGGGAGAAGAATATGGCCAAGCCCCAAAATTTTACGACTATGCGGAAAAGAATGTATTTGAAAAGCCTAAGAGTCCTCTTGTAAAAAGTAAACCTCCTGACAGCAAAAAATTAGAACCATCTCTTAAGTGGAAGACAACAACAGGCACTCGAGAGTATGTAATTCTTTTAGATTTTCTGACAAATATAATTAATTAACCTGGATGTTTGAAATGTAATATTGTTGTCATTATTTTTTAAAAAAATTATGAAATTGAACAAATTTAAATTTCCTATATTTTAAAAGCTTTATTTAAATATATTTTGCTTTCCAAAAATGTTATTATTCCTTATTTTGTGACTTCTTAGCAATTAGAAAAGTTTGTATTCAAATCATATCTCTTCAATTTAAGTACTGCACATGCCTCATAAGCAGACACAAATGTAGGTAGGAACGACTGTATCTGTATGATTTAGACTGGAGCATTTAGGATCCAAGAGGTAAGCTTGTGGCTCCAAATGTTCACATTTGACAAGCAACTTAATGACACCTTGAAATTTTAATGCTTTGTAATTGGCCAGTCTGGTTTGTTGTTTCATTTATATCATAAATGATAATACAAAGCAGAATATGTGTTTATTTCTTTCCCTCTAAGGAAAGAAATAAGGGCAAGATTGAGAAGAATAACTGGACAAGAAAATAGTGATTTTAACTTTGCTTCTGAGAATCTGAAATTCTATTGATTGCACCATAACAGGTTCTTTACCAATTACCATTTCACACAGAGAACAGGATATGTGCAGATAATACAGGCAGTATTTTGCTCAAACAGCAAGACTAAGGTTGATAATTAGAGACTAAGCTAGGTTGAGGTTCCAGAACCAATCAAAGTAGAAGACAGGAGAAGCAACTGGCTTGGGATACAAGCTCAAAAAAAAAATATCTCTGAATCAGAGTTGCTGGGTGTTGAGCACCATATACATTTAATAAATTATTTGTGGTTGGTTACACAGATGATTATAATATAGCCATATGCCATTTTTTTCCTCTGGATCTCTTAAGATGTCCTAATTCCATTTTCATGATTGGTAATATATATAGCACAGAGAAAAAAAATAAAAAGCAAATATAGAAGCCCAACAACAATAGAATTCAAATGTATTGCTATCAGTTGGATATGTTACTAGGTATTTGAGTAAATATCTCTTTATTGTGGTTACCCTTATGTAAAGTACTAGTTAATTGGTCCTTTTGAAACAAAACTTTTAACAAATTCAATATTCTGGAACTATATGAAGATTGATATTCATAAAGAATTCAGGTAGAGGAGAGAAGCAGGTGCCCCTCAAGATCACTTGGGTTCCAGTAACCCCGTGCATCTATGGTCTGGGAGTGATAGGAGGTTTTTAGGACCTCAGTTCTTCCAGCTCAGCTTGTATATCTTTGAAAAAAGGAATTTAGAGGATAGCAAATCTTCTGGTAAAAAAAGCATCATTCAGAGGCTTTAGCACAACCACATTTTGTCTATGATATCCAACTGGCATGCTTAGTGGAAAAAAGATTCTGTATATACTGCACATAAAAAAGTAGAGGTGACTTACAACCACAACTGAGCCCAAAATTTCTGTTGCTAAGCAAGACAATTGTTAAGTGAGTTTTGCCCTATTTTATGACTTTTCTCATAACAGTTATTAAGTGAATCACTGTAGTTGTTAAATTACTAACATGGTGGTTAACTAAAAGTGAATCTGGCTTCCCCATTGACTTTGCTTGTCTGAAGGTTGCAAAAGATGATCACATGGCCTTGGGCAATGTCATAAATATGAACTAGTTGCCAGGCATCCAAATTTTGATCACATGACCATGGGGATGCTGAAATGGTTGTGTGAAAAACGGTAAGTCCATTTTTCAGTGCTGTTGCAATTTTGAATGATTACTAAATGAATAGTTGTAACTTGAGGCCTACCTATATTACAACATTTACTTAAGTGTGCAATCTAGATTTTCACTGTGACAGTATATTCAGCACCATTGATCATTAGTTATAATGGCCCATCAGCTAAATTCAAGAAAGATCACAGAAAGGATTATAGGAGGTGCTTATCAGAGACATATTACTTACTGCAAGAATTGCAATAGTTATCCATACGAGTTGTGAATTGCACCATGAATTGAAATGCATTGCAGTATTAGAACATTCATATTTTCATTGTAGCTCTTGCCCAGCTTCACACAAAGTAATTTTGAAAAGTTAAATCAATAGCTGCAATAAAAAAAAAGTTTAAAGAAGAAAAAAGTCTGAATCTGCTTTTAATAACAAAATGCTATGACCGCAATCCAAGAGAGAATTAACTGTGCATAGGTCCATTGAAATCATTAGGTTTATTCTTTGCTGCACTTAACTGAGCTGAATTATGGCCCATTTATAATTCTAGATTCAGCAAATTTTGCTGATAATTTGTGATGACATCAGTTCTTTATGCTTCTTTAACAAATTATTCAGTCTAAATGGTATGACATTAATCAGTTTTAGCCTTTAATAGACTTACTTCAGAAATTAAAACATTTATTATATATTCATGATATCCTTAATTGTCAAAGAATAAATGTTATATCCTTTTAGAGGCAAAGCAGCAAGAAAATGTGATGAAAAAGAAATCAAACATGCCACTCCAGAAAGCAAAAAAAGATCCACTGGAACACCAACTGCCTCTCTTAAAAGGTACGCAGTCTTAATAATGCATAGTTTTCTTTTGCTTGAATTAAAATCACAATTTTTCAACACGAACAAGATAACAAATGATTTCAGCGTCTCAAACGAGTAACCTGAAATGATTGAATTGTATTTGACTGACTTATTTTATGGTTGTTGTTTTTTTTTACTATTTTTATGTGCAGGAGTCTGTAAAATCAGTGTTAGTCTCAGATACGAATCTTACTTATTAAGTTTTCAAATGGAAAATTTTCTGGTGTTCCCACTTCTCTGCATGACCAAACAGGGAACTCCCAAGCTGAAAATATAAACCTGTTGGTTCTGGCAGAATTGTGTTATATTTGCATCTGCTACCATTTTTCCAATCACAGACAGAGAAATGATGATTGCTTGGCTTATTGTTCTAGTAACTTGGCTCTTAATAGACATTTCCTTAGCTCACATTTCTTAAGCAGTGTATAGCGACAGATCTCAGTTTTGAACAGTATGCCCTGAAATTTAAATACCCGTTTGGAGAGCTTTTGTATGGTTTTGTTTTCATTTTTAGTAATCTCGCTTTCTCTCTTCTTCAGTGTTCTGGGACCAAGTTAGTATCAAAATCTGAAAAGCAAACAAATACATCCATTCCAACGACTTTCATAGTTCGTCACATTGTTTCTCCAATTTCACAGTATTCCATCAGTAAAAAATCGTGCAATTAAAAAATGATTTTAATTTTTCCCACACTGTGTCAGTTTAGAAGATTATGTAAATGTGATGTAATTCAGTTCCTTATAGAATTTAGCTATTTTGTTTATAGATAAGAATTTATAATTATTAATGAGGATATGAATATACAGTTTTGCATGCTAATTTTATAAAATAATAGCATAATACAGTGAGGACATATTACATAGGATACATAGGACACATATAATGTCTTCTGATCATTTTTAATTATTACTATGTTGCAAGAGATTGTTCTAAATATAATTGAAATCACAAAGGATGCTTCATCCTTCTTTTACAAGCTGTTTTTATACTGAAAGTTGCATGTATATTAATTCTTCAGTTGTTCCACATGAAGAAGAAAGCATACATTTAGCTTCAGAAATAAGGTGCTTGCTTAGCTTTGAAAAATTGTTCAAAAGAAAAAAAAAGACTTTTGGAAAAGGAGTCAATCCATTTCCCAAATTCTTCAATCTACAACTATACTAAAACAAAAAATCAAAACTGGATTTTTTTTAACATTTACTTTATTCATATGAGATGATAAACCAATCTCTGTAATTTCATCTCACTATGTGGAATGGGGTAATAATATTGATCTATCTTATACTTTCTTAACAGTGTTGCAGCTGGGTAATTCAGAAATTTTTTTCGCTTTATTGTTCAATTTATATAACATATTACTCTGGGCAGCTAACAGGAAATAAAAGCAAGATATATACCTTGGTGTTCAGGAGGAAGTGATTCAACTGCATTAATCGTTTCTGATTAAATAGATGCTGGTTTCCTTTATGAATTGTGTGCAATTCAAATGATTTGTGAAATATGAGAGTAAGTGCATAGCACTTCTTGAAAACAATGGAGTTTTTTTTTCCCAGCAGCAAAAGTCATATGCAACTACTTTAATGAAATGTTTTAAAAACAATATTATATTAATAAATTGGGTCATTAAAGAGCTGCACCTTGTATCTTGTTTTCTGACTTGAAAAACTGAAAAAGGATACTGTTTTAAAAGATGCTGCTACCATCAGTAGAACAACTTGTCTGCAAAAATTGTGGGTTTTTAAGAAGAGATTAGACATTTGTCTGAAATGATATAGGGTTTCCTGGTTGAGCAGGTGGTTGGACTAGAAGACTTTCAAGATCCCTTCCACCTCTATTATTCTGTTACTCATATTGTCTACTGTTATGGAGCACATTTTCAAATCTTTTTCACTACATGCATAAGTCGAATGTATTATTCCCATCTTAGTGTGGCTTGCATTAAATTTCTGCCTCAATAATTTCAAATTTATATACTTATGGATTGTGCTTTTGATTTAATGTGGTTATCATTTCTAGATGTGATTCTCCCTTTCTTGCTCCACTTTTCCTTCTTTTTTGGTTTAGTAAACTTCCACCAAAAAGTGAGGATGCAAGTGAAAGTTCTTCTGAGAGTGAAGAAGAGGATGAACAGCCTGAACGCCATCAGGAAATTAACACTGATTTGCCATCAGAATATTGGCAGATTCAAAAATTAGTGAAATATATAAAGGTAAAAAAATTAATTTTGAAGAGAGAGTCCAAAGAATCACATTACTTCTCTTCTAATTAAATTATAAATACAAAATTATTATTTCAGAATCTCTTCATTTTGTGTTCATTTCTTTAATCAGTTTGCATCCTAAAATGATTTTCAATCTCTGTTGTAGTAGATCTAAAGAATACCATTTAGTTTAGTCATAGCAATACCTTTTAAGCCAATATATTGCAAAACAGATGAGTAATCCAGTGCAACCTATTATAAAATGGCAAAATATTAAATATTCTAAATTCCATGTTATTTATTGAATTATAGAGACATTCATCTCAATGAAATGTCTCCAGCGTTCTTCAAAGTTGTGACATAAGAATAAACAAAAACAGAGTAAAAACGACCTAACAGTAACCATATCATCATGTCTCTGTGCATGAAGGCATTGCAACAATTTGGGATTCTGATCGCCTGGTCAATTTTATTATTATCTTTTTCATTCTGTTGGGATTTATTTATTGATAGGTCTATAAATTTAAGAGATCACTTATGGTTTTTGTTTTTATACACAGTTCCTTGTTGGGCTATGTTTGTGCATATGATCCATGTTATAGAACATAGTACATAGAACAGAGTTGGAAGGGACCTTGGAAGTCTTCTAGCCCAAACCCTGCTTGTGTAGGAGTCCCTATACTATTCCAGACAAGTGGCTATCTAGTCTCTAAAAAATCTCCAGTGATAGGGCCCCTACAACTTCTGAAGGCAACGCATTAATTGTTCTCTCACAGTTAGGAAATTTCTCCTGAGTTCTAGGTTGCTTATTTCCTTAATTAGTTTCTATCCATTGTTTCTGGACTTGCCTTCTGGTGCTTTGAAAAATAGGTTATGATTTTGAAAATAATTTCATAATTATAATTTTGAAAATAGGTTATTTTGAAATTATCATATTTATGTAATACTATGTTTTCAAAAGGCTAATTATTAAATATTTAATCCTACTTTCATATTTGAGTCAAATACCCCAAAGAAGCAGTTTGATTCTGATTGTTCTTGTTTCTGATGTGGCTCTACCAGTAACTACAGGAATTGATATAGCCACACTAGGTACAAAAAACTTCATTCATTTATTATATAGTAACATATAAAAGCAAAAAGAATATTTCCATAAAAATAAAGCTCCACATCACATCAATTTAATTGTTCTGATGGAAAACAAAATAATGTTTTTAAAAAAGCAATTCCTTTATTTGTTTCATTTTGCTGAATTGTGCACAAGTTGCTTGTGAAAATGCTATAGAGTAGTTTCTATTAAATTTAAATAATATGACATATTTGGAAGACTGGAAAAAACAGTAGACTTGTTCTCTCTCTGTGTTTATATAATTAATTCCAGAACACTTCTGCTTGCATATGAAAATGTATTAAAATAGCATTGGGTTTTGAGTAAAACATTATCTTGTATTAATAAGCTAGCAAATAACATACTTTGTACCCATGGGTGGTCATTTCTTCTTTTTTTTTTTAATGAACCTTAAAATTTTGCTGAATGCTTGAGTATTTTAGATTGTTTTTATTTTGATTGTTTTTGGCTATTCCATTGTAAATCACTCTGGACTCCATCAGAAGGAAAATGGGTATACCATTATTATCTTCATAACAATGTAAAATCACAGCTGCCAATTCTATAGCTAGTGTTGGCTTTCCTAGACGTTGTGTTCTTCCCAAGGCTATCATAATATATCAGCATAGCATATGTAATCATCCAAGTAGTCTGGTCTTTTCAATTGACAGATGCAAAAATTAAAACAATATTATTATTAACAATCTCATATAAACTGAGAGAGTAATTAATAATCTGCAAATGGACCCAAATAAAAATATACATTATGAAAAAAGATCATCTCCTTTTCCTCTATAAATGCAATGCAATATATGTAGTGATTTATTAGTTCCAAGAGAAAAATGGCAATAGTTATGTTATTAGGTCTTTGGAGTTATTCAGTGTATTTAATTAGATGATGTATCACGGAAGCTTTCCAAAATAAATGTTTGCCACTTTTTATCTATTTGGAAGAAGACCTTAACAATCAAGAAGTAGAAATAAATTGCTTTAGATTGGCTTACAAAAAAATAAAAATAAAACATCAGACATCTCGTATAATAAAACATCAGACATCTCGTATATAAATGTCAGCAGTTACAAAAGGCTTTTTAATTTGTTTCATACTTTTGTTGGATGAACTTTTTGAAATAATGTACAATGCTGGATCAAATTAGTTATTCAGATAACAGCTGGAAAAGTGACTTATGGAAGGCTTCTATTAGAAAGAGTTCTTTTTATGATCTATTAAAGATAGAAAATAAGTATCATTGCTCATGAAAACAGTACAGGAAAAGAAAATCAAAATTGGAAACAAAAAAGGGCTACTAGAAAGAAAAAAGTACATATGAGAAAAGAAAAGTGATATATGATAAGAAAATATAAATAATAATACACCAGCTGAACTATACATCTAACCAAGCAACTGTAGCCATGTTGACCAAAAATCTAAACTTCTGGCATAGATAAAGCCTTACCCTACCTTTGAACCATCACAATTCTCCTAATTTCAAACCTACCCTATGCATACAAGAAAATAACTTGCTCATAGCTTCCCTATCATTATCATCATCGGCAACAGCAACATGTTTCTGTATTGAGAGGCTATATAAAGGAAGGCCGGTTGTTAAAAAACGTAACACCCAAATGCATCATTTTTTTTTGTTGCAAATAAAAAATTTCAAGAGTGAAGTGATAATATACCAACAAATTGCAATCACATATACGGCTGGCAGTATAAGTTAAAGATATACAAGTCGGATGGTGAATTTCTACCATGGCAGGAAAGAGTTGGAGAGAAAGTTACAGTATTTCAAAGGAATATCAGCTTTCTTCAGATTCAAATAAACCCAAAAAAACTGAGAAAAAAATAAAATTGGCCCTCAAAAAGCCTGGCAATATCATAAGATCAGCTCCAAATTGCTGCAAAACCTTCATGCACAGAGTGATATGGTTCTGATATGATTACTGTTAGGTCAAGATGTTACTTTGCTGTTTTCACTGTCAGAACTTCGAAGATGCTGGAGACATTGGGCCCAGTCAATATAAGAACTAAGTAGAGTCATGAAATCTCACTATACCAAAAGAGAGCTTGCCATAGGTAATAAAAAGATGTAAAATTTTGAAGTACCAGTGCAGACTGAGGTTTATGTTCTATTTATGCAGCTGGTGTTTAAGGGAACTTTGCAGTCTTACCCCACTGCCCCCTGTGTTTGAAAAACAAACAAATTAAGCAGCAGATGTCAGTTAACCAAAGTCTTACAATTTCCCTGGACAGATAAAAAACCATGTATAGTGCAACTTATAAAGTAGTAGCTAGATCTCTTTATCTGCGTTATGGACTCAGTCTTTCACCTAACACTTACCTGCTAGTCACTCCGAAGCCTGGATGCTGTCTTTTAGAAATTATTCACTCCTGGAATTTATGAATAACACCAATTTTGTGAATTTAACACATTTGCTTGCTGATCTTGTTTATTCCTGAAAGCATTTCTCCCCTCATATTTGAATGCTCTGTTCATATGGTTTAGTTTTTCTTTGGAAAATCTGTTGGCTTTAGTGCAATTCAATTGCCCAACTTTTTATTCAAGCTCAGCTGCTTGTTGTTTTCTTGACAGTCTGAAACGGTGATGGGTCTTCCCAGATTAGTCTTGTTTAATGTCTTTTGCAGACATTATTTCAGGCCCAGCCATGACCCCACACCCACTTGTGGCAGCTGCAACTCTTGCCAGATACTAACAGCAGAACTTCCCCAGATTCCTCTCTATTATCTGCTCTATTTTGAGAAGAATTCAGCACTTTCCTCTGGTGTTTGACATCAAGCAGAAACACGGCCAGGAAATGATGTGCCTTCCATACGTTCTGGAACTTCTGGTCCTGGAGAGGGAGGGAAGGTGAAAGAAAAGAGATTACTGTTAAAAGATCTATTCAGTGTAGCGACCATGCTGACTGGTGTAGTTTCTGTATGCCATGCCCAGAAGTTATGGGTAATGTATATTTTAAATGTTCCTGTAAAATGAATAGGGGCAATGTGGATATTTCCCTCCTTTCTAATACTCAGATCTCTGTGATGACAAAGAGAGTGGAAAAAACAAACTGAAACAAAGGAGAAACAACATAATTCTGTGTTTTGCTTTTCCTCAAAGTCCATTGTGTCCTTTGAATGTTGATCTTTTTTCACTTAAAAAACAATGTGGAATTGATGGATGGGCATAGTGAAGTTAGCCTTACTAATCTATAGTAGCTCTCATTTTTTAAAACCAGGCTGAATGAGTTTGTAGCTTTCTTGATAATAAAATCATTTTTATTCATTCTGGGCTGGATGCTAATTTGTTAGAATCTGAGAGGTGAGTGAAACAGCATCTCATGATGTAATTTACATTTCTTTTATGAGTTCTCTGTAATTTGAATGCTGCTATCTGTAGGCTAAGAGCACTTCTCTCCTTCAAGGTGTTTAACAGGTTATATAACCAGCTAATTCTGAGATGTAATCAATGTGGTGGGTTGTTGTTGTTGTTTTTTGAGGAAGAGAGTCATCCTGCTTTGTTTGAAGGAGGAAGTAATTTCTTTCTTAAAAAAGTAATTCCTTAAGCCAACTGGATTGCCTGGTCTCCAACTCTTTTCTTTGAAGCAAGTTGTTATGAAGACATTGGGAACAAGTTTCAGAGGATTACAGAGGATTCAAATTATCTACATGATTTTCAGTCAGGATTCAGGCCAAATCATGGGAGACAAACAGAATTTGTTACTCTAGTAGCTGACTTAGATAGGGGAATACATTGTTTGATCTTGTGAGACCTCTCATTGGGAGTATCCTTCTGGATCAATTACACGGGTTGGCAGTGGTGAGCACTGTTTTACAACGTTTCTGGGCTTCAGTCAGTGGTTCCTCATTCATATATATCCTGGAGGAAAGTGTTCAAGTTCATGAGAAGCCTGCACAGAGCCTGACAGGGATCAGAACTCTTTCCCATGTTTTAATCTCTTGTAAAACCACTGGGAGAGCTCATCTATCAGTTCAAGGTGATATGTTATTAGTATTACTAGACTGATGACACTTATTTACATGTTGCTGCCTTGGGCCAAACCAGAGATGCTCTGGAAGCTCAGAACTGGTGTCTAGAAGTTATAAGGATCTGAATAGGACAAAACCATTTCAGACTGAATCACATAAAAACAGAGTAGCTTGTTTTTAGCAAGCATCTAGTAACACTGGATTATGTGTGAGATGACACTCTTTCTCTGTATGGGACTCTGTTCTCTTTTCATAGAACTATATTTTGATACCTTTGAGCCCTTGGCTCCTGGTGGTCCCAGTAGTATTACTCACCTTTTGTATTTATTTTTTGGATTTTATCATTACATATTTTTATTTCATATGTGTCTGTATGTGTGTGCCTAAAGACATTAGGGATTGGGCAGATCATAAGCATTGTAAATATAGTACAAAAAATCAGGGAAAAATTATTTAAAAAAGAAATGGCAATAAGGAACAAGATAGAACATATGTCAGATGCTCCAACAGCAACATGGGTCAGTATTCCAATGGGATGTAACACCTGCGTAGACTTAGACTTTGCCTATATAAATAAATTTGCAGCTCTACAAAATTAAGAGGTCAGAAAGTCAGGATGCAAAGAAAATGCCCGAGAGAAGTTTAAGCAATAGTGCAAACCTATACTCTGAACCCAGTCTAGAATTTTTTCCCCCATATCATGCAATTTTGTTTTCATTCTTAATTTAAAAAAAAAACTGGTAATGGTTTTAATTTAAAGTTTGCTTCATGTATTCCTTTGTTATTGAGACATACCAGGCATGACGGTGTCAGTGCTTAATTAGCTCTTAAACAATACTTATTTTCCACGCATTACAGACATGTAATGTGAACATTATGGAATCTGTGATTTTTATCATGGTTATGATTTTCCACTGGCCCTGGTTATTTTAATCTCTGTGTTTCATTCACTGCCAGGCTATAACCCAAGAACTGCAGAGGATTCAGGAAATGGGACAAGAAGTTATTCCATAACTCTGTAATACTCCTCCATAACTCGCCACTAACAAGTTGCAGCTTGACCTGTGTTCTGTAAAACAAAATGAAAAGTTGGATCAGACAATGAATATTTAATGAGATATTATTGCTATTTAAAAAATCTACCATAAAACCATAGCTGAAGTAATTGTGCCTTTACTCTAGCAAGTAACACAAGTATATCCAATAAAGGAGACTAGATCATCACAAGCATATCCACCTGCTTAGAATCAGAATTATGTAAGGCAATTAAATGAGAAACTAATAAGCTCATACTTTTAATATATCCAACTTAGTAGGGTATTTTGTTTCGATGTAATGAATGGAAGCTGAATTAAACTACCTACAAAAATTCATTTTGTAGACAGCAGGTAGCCACAAGTTAGATTTCAAACAATCTAGATTTTTCAGATTCGTTTGTAAGGCTAGCTTTTAAAGATAACGACATTAAAATTGAAAAAATCTGGTAGTACTGTAATAGGACTGCTTGGGAGGTTAGAATGTGAATGAACTGAAACAGTAGAATTATCTGCCAGGTTTTTTTGGCTTTAGTCCCCTATTGAGTCAAATACCAAGGAACAGAGGAATATCTGTTTCTTTCTTGGGCTTTTAAAAAATGGCAGATATTAAGGATAAACCAATGGTTTGTAATGTATTCCTGCAAACATTTTGTATGTTCTATGCCCCCTTTTTGCCTGGCAAAAGTAAAATATGACTAATTATGGAACTTGTTTTGTACTAGGGGTAGAAAGCTGAGGGCAATGTGGTTGGAAACTAGACATTTCATTCCTTTTTTGGGATGGGATTTGGATGTTAGATAATACCCTGAACAGAATTCTGCAGGAGCCATATGGACTCCAAGGAGTCTGTGGAGCTTGTGAACTAGTCCCATTGTATTAACTGACTGAGAAATTTCTGTAAGGAGAAAGAGAGGCCTATTCTTCTAATTTTCCCCTTAGTTTGGCTTTTTCAGAAGAAAAGTAAGTAGGCCAGTTCTAGATTTGTAATTGTTTTATATTAACTAATGTTTGTGAACTTGTCATATACCTACCTACATTTTTTTTTGTTTTTGTTTTAATGGAATCTTTGTTATTGCCCAGTGATGAATGAAATGAAAAATGCTATAGATCTTATTTCAGGAAGGTGGTTTTTCTTTACTTACATCTGTTACTTAGTATAATTCTGAACTTCATCTGTCATCTAAAAAGTGCTTAGAATTTTTTTCTCCAAGCATGCCTTTAATTATTTATAAGATAACGACATTATAGGTTCTCTTTTCATTTCAATTTGCGGATATTTGTGCTGAACCATCCTATAAGTGGAGGTAGATTTTTAGAAATAAAATCTGCCTTTAATTTAAAGCTTTAAAGTTAAGTGTTGCAGTGCCATAGAACTTATTTTGCATCCATCAAACAAACATTTAACAAGATGATGCAGCTTTTGTGTACATTTAATAGAAAATTAACAGTTTCCATGTTGGTTAAAATTTACCCTTGAAAACTTTCTCTAATAGCTTAGTAGGCAGAAAAATATTATTATGGTAATCAGTAGTAATGGTTATAATGTAGCACAAATGTATGAGCTTCTATGAAAAATACTTTGAGTTTGTTTTAAAATGTATATTAAACAGTGGAAGCAATTTTTTTGCATACAAATTTTGTACAACCCCCCCCCCCCCCAGATTTAGTCTTACAAATTTAAAAGTAAAAGAAACTTTCAAAAGTCTTCTTTTCTTTGGTTTATTAAAATATTTCACTGGTTTATCAGTGATAATTTAACAGAAATAGGATTTTCTTTTATTCACCTCACTAACAAATCCCACCAAATTGAAATATGCACATTGCCCTTATAATTTTGCTGTATAATTTTTTTTTAATCTTGGTGTGTCTGTTCAGTAAAACTTGCTTTACCCTATATTACATTGATGGTTTCATTTATAGGCAGGTAACCAGACAGCTACTGTAATTGCATTGTGTTCAATGAGAGATTTCAACTTGTCTCAAGAAACGTGCCAGTTGGCAATTAGAGATGTTGGGGGTCTTGAAGTGCTGATTAATTTACTTGATACTGAAGAAATCAAATGTAAGGTGAGTTAATTGCATAGTGAGTAGTATTTTTAAGGATTCCAGTAGCTTTCACACAGGGTGCTCATTTTGACTTTCAGATCTTTCTCTTTCTTTTAAAAGCTATGTGACTATCACTCATCTTGTAACACTGTGTATTTTAACTGAAGCCTTGTAATGAGCCTTAACATGTAAGCCATGGGGGAAATTTAAGGAATTAAAACAATTAAAAACTTATGCATGAATTACAGGGAAATTTTGAGAATCCTTCTGGCTTCTATGGGACATCAAGATTTCTTTGGCTATTTCCTTTTTGTATCCTCACATAAATTCTCTTTAGAGGTTTTTGCCATCATGTCTTAGGAAGCAAAAGAATTTGCTTCTTCAGTTTTGTCACCATTCATCCACATCACAGTCATGATTGATAGTAGCAATTTTCTATTTGACGGCATGATAATTCCTTATTCTCATCCCATGAGTGTAACAATCATCCTTAGGAGTACTTAAGTTTTAAAGTAATATGTTACACTTTAAATCAGTACCACCCCAGCTCAGCTTCAAGGTATATGAAATCTGTAATGCTTTATTACCCATTATCTTGGAGGCAAGGTTAGCTGATAAGGAAGATTAGAGGAGTGTTTGGGCATGGGCCCACTCCCAATACTCTGCTCATTAACCAGCCCCTTCCACAGCTACTTCCCTTATAGGTTTTGCCCATTTCACTAGTATTACGTTCTTTTCATGCTTGTCACTGTTCCTCACCCTTACCTTTGGCACCAACTTTTCTCCAGATTTCCACAAAGTAGAGTAAAGAAGAGCAGGCTGCTAGTATTTCATTTTCAATGAGGAGATGTTTTGGGGGTTATTTGTTATTTTGTTTCATTTGTCCCTTGCAATCACTCTTCCACTCTCCTCTCAAACTAAGAGTGTAGTCAGTTTCAATTAGTCAATTTCAGTTCTTTGGCAATATAACTTCTAGCCAATTCTATAGTTCCAACAGGCCCTGTGTCCTATTTTCTGTTACTGTTTCTGCACTGGCATCATTCCATATTTTATGTTATTCACTATTATTTTAAACTTGGGAGATGATCTAATAAGGTAGACAAGGATAAGCCACAGAAGAGAAGCAAAGTCCCCAATCAGAACCTCTGTTTCCTCTGCGTGCTGGTGAAATTCTACAAGGAGAGAGCAACAAAACCAGAGAAGAAAATAATCACCCTAGCTAAAGTGAATAGCACAATCCCCAGTCAGAACAGCATCACCTGATGTTCATTTAGACCAGGTGTTGTAGAAGCAGAATATGAGTTATGCTGCCATTGTTTGACTCCTGGGTGGATGGAAAGTAGTAGAGGAAGACCCTTTGCCTTCCTTTTTTTTAATTCTGTAATCAACATGCATGGAACAAAGAAAGACAAGTAGCATCTCCTGTGGCATGAAAATCTGCACAACTTTCAACAGTTCATCTAATGACCATTCAAAGTTATAACAGCAGTGAAAAAAGTAACTTACGACCATTTTTCACAGTTATGACCTTTGCATCATCCCATGATCATGTGATCAAAATTCAAATGCTTGGCAACGGGTTCATATTTATGATGGTGGCAGTATCCCAAGGTCATGGGATCACCTTTTGCAACCTACTGACAAGCAAAATCAATTGGGAAGCTTAATTCACTTAATAACCGAGTTACGAACTTATCAGTTGCAGTGATTCACTTAACAACTATGGCAAAAAAGGTCGTAAAATGGGACAAAAATCATTTAACAAATGTCTCAGAGATGTTTGGCTTCAATTGTGGTCGTAAATAGAGAACTACCTATATAAAAAACTTTTTAAAAAATAATCTGTACTCTAAAAGAAAGCAATCCATAACAATGCATTTTTTCCCATTAGATTGGTTCATTAAAAATCCTGAAGGAAATTAGTCAAAATGCTCAGATAAGACGTACGATTGCTGATCTTGGAGGATTGCAGATCATGGTTACTATACTTGATTCTCTAGATCAAGATTTGAAGTGTTTGGCTGCTGAAACAATAGCTAATGTAGCTAGATTCAAACGAGCCCGAAGAACAGTCCGTCAGCATGGTGGAATCAAGAGACTAGTAGGTTGCTTATGTACTCAAGTTTTGGTATCAGAATTTCAACTTAATTGTGTCTTTTCCCCTAACAGTAATATGAAATTAAATGTTGTATACCAATGTGGTCAAATAATTTTCTTTTTCATGTGACAGAAAGGTCACTCTGGTTTTTTCCCCCCTCATGCATTCTGCTGCACATTTAATATCACAGCACTAATATGTCTAAAGATACTTACACAAGTGGTAGGACTGTATTACTATTATACTTATCTATCGTCTTCTACTATTGATAGCTTATTATTATGTTGGTTTGTTGTTGGTATGTACACCAAGATCTTATGCACCAGAGACAAATTCTATGTATGTCCAATCATACTTGGCCAATAAATAATATTCTATACTGTTCTGGTTCATCCCATCCCTTCCCTTCCTTTCCCTTCTTTTTTCCTACTCTACCCTACTCTACCCTACCCTATAGCAGAATTAGCTGAGCTGTGGTGACGCAGTGATTAGAATGCAATATTGCAGGCTAATTCTGCCAACTGCCAGCAGTTCAATTGTCCTCATTTCAAGGTTGACTCAGCCTTCCATCCTTCCAAGGTGGGTAAAATGAGGACCCAGATTATTGGGGGCAATATACTGACTCTGTAAACTGCTTAGAGAGGGCTGTAAAGCAGTATATAACTCTAAGTGTTGTTGCTATTGCTATGTTTGTGTAGCCTTCCTTTAAAAGAAAATGAACAATTTCGAGTCAGAACAATTATTTTAAAATGAACAATAATAGAAGCATCTCTCTGAAGTTCTAAATATTCTATTTAAACTGACCGGATCAGAATAATATTTCCTGAAATGAAGATAGTTTTGCTTGCATTCTAAACTAACTGAGAAGTGTGTTATTGGGCATTCCTTCCAGCAGTTTGGATAACTGATTAAAAGCTCACTAAATATACTTCTCACTTAACTGGGAGATGCAGGAGGGTTTTTCATGATTATATAAATGGAAACATTCTCAAACTTACCCATTTTTTATAGTGAGAGTAGTGAGAGAATCCAGGATAAACTGCCTTTTTGTGGTATCGAAGAGTTCTCTCTGTTTTACCACAACTGCTGAAAATCACCAGGACATTACTTGCTATTTTGAAGCGGAATATAAACAAAAACTCTAAAATAGACCAAACATATTTTTTTAAAAGAGCCTGCAACCCAAGAAAAACTATATATATTTTTATTTTAATCCACATGTGAGATATACAAAAAATTTGCATATTTGACCTGTCCACAGTGTCTCTTTGCTTTTCCCCAAAATCTCACACGGAAACTGAGAAGATGGACTTCTTTACAACCAAAAGCTTATAGGCAGCAAGAGCTAAAACACAAGTAAGATATTTCCTTTCCTTTCTAGAACAAGTGTTGTAAGCAGAGTGGTATCTTGCAGCACCAGAATGCATATCAGGGTGTTCTTGGTCAGCTTTATTGGATTTTTATTTCTTATCAGGTTGGGCTGTTAGACTGTTCTGCAAGTCTCAATCAGCTTCAGGGAAAGGAAATAGAAGTAGCACGCTGTGGTGCTTTGGCACTATGGAGCTGCAGCAAAAGTGCTAGGAATAAAGAAGCAATCCGTAAAGCTGGAGGCATCCCCCTGCTGGCTCAGTTACTGAAGTCTCCTCATTCAAATATGTTAATACCTGTAGTAGGAACTTTGCAAGAGTGTGCCTCTGAGGTAAGCAACCGTCCCTACATCTGAAAATTCAACTGACTTTCTTCCGCAGGTCAAATAGAAATCAAAAGTAGACAATGGCTTTTAAATTTCAGGTGCATATGAAACAATATTCTGTCTGTCTATCAGTTCATCCATCAATATACTAATCAATCACAATGACATAATTGACTACACATTAAGGTAGATTCAGTGAACTATAATTATATTTCATTATATTTTAATTCTTTAATTAATACAAATTATGATATTTACCTGAAAGGAATATCAGTTGTCATTTCCAAATAATTACAAATAGAAATAATTGAATTGTGTGTGTGTATGGAGGGATGCAGTAGCCACTCTCAGGTGAAAAGCTGATCAGTCAATTCCTATGGCAACCAACAGCTCCACACTTAGTTGATAAAAAAGTGGACCTTGCACTTGAGGGAAAATGCTAGGGAGAAAAAAAACATCACTATCCAAAAAACTTATTTCCATATTTTGTAATCAATCCCTTGCTATCTGAGCAATAACAAAGTATTTGTATACCAATATGGGTGCAAGTGGGAGATCAGTTAATGTTGAAATTGTATTGTCTTATTTTATAACCGATTAATTGTATCAATTTTTTTTCGCTCAGTGCTGTTTTTTTTAAAGAGAAGTTTCTGACCAATGTGTACAGAGAGTCCTTGACTTACAACAGCTCGTTTAGTGACCATTCAAAGTTACAACAGTACTGAAAAAAGTGACATGACTGCTTTTCACAGTTGCTTGGCAGCAGGTTTTTTTAAATAACCATTGCTGTGTCCCAGGGTCATGTGATCACCTTTTGCGACCTTCTGACAAGCAAAGTCAATGGGAAAGCTGGATAAACTTAACAACCAGGTTACTAATTACCAACTGCAGTGATTCACTTAACACTGAAGAAAGGCCATAAAATGGGCAAAATTCACTTACAAATATCTCACTTAACAACAGAAATTGTGGGCTCAGTTGTGGTCATAAGTCAATGACTACCTGTATTACATATACTTTTGCACAGTTATACGGTAGGGAGACAGGCAGGCATATAAACTCTAATTGGTTTTGGCAGGAATTGTCAGCCTTAATTCAAAAGAAAAGGAAGCTTTGCAGTATAGACGAATATTTGCTGGTTTTATAGTCTTCTATTAATTTTCATTGTGTGAGGAATGGCAAAGTCAAAAATAATAATAAACTTTGTCCACATTGGTAATTTATTTTCTAAAGGTCTTTTCAAACTCCTTTCTAATGGGTTTTTATTTATAGCCCAGCTACAGACTAGCAATCAAACAAGAGAAAATGATTGAAAATCTCGTGAAAAATCTGAACAGTGACAAGGAAGAGTTGCAAATGCATTGTGCCAGTGCAATCTTTAAGGTAAGCATTAATCTTCTGAGACAAAAATGGTTCTCTGCACACTATTTCTCTTTAAAAAAAATAATGGGACAAACAAGATACTTATTTAAGAAAAAATAGTGGGACTTCTTCACCTGCTCTTTATTACAAAAACTGAAATAACTGAATTAACACAAGAGCCTAAGAAAGACTAGGCAATTGAATTTGTAACATGCCAAATTTTACTACTGATCAATTTATTAATTTTTTAAGATATGGCCAGTTATCTTGCACTGGTGGCAGGGTGATTAAAGTGGAATATTGTGGGTAAACTCTGCTCATAACCTGGTATTTGATCCTGACAGGGCTCAAGGTTGACTCAGCCTTCTATTTGTCTGAGGTCAGTAAAACGAGGGTCCAGATTGTTGTGGGAAATATGCAAATAATATATGAATATATTATATACCATTCAGAGAGTGCTCCATTCATATGCTTGCTTGCTTATTTGTTTATTTATTTAGGAAATATATGTGGCTGTTCATCTACCTATGGAAATTGGGGTATTGAACAAAAATAAAAACACCATAGACACAGAGTTTTAAACCATTAAATCAAAAAAGACAATGCGGAAGCTCCAATGAAACTTATATCCATGATTCAACCATACCATACCAGCCTCATCAACAGCCTGGCTCCAGTAACTGGAGGAAAAACCATTGTTTTTCTGAAGGCCAATAATGTCAGGCCATCCATATTTCTTCATTAAAAACTGTACTTGCCAATGTTCATTTTGAGACTTTTCACTGGAGTGCTGAAGAAAGGGGCTTGAGATCTATTTATTTTAATAGGATTTAAGCCTATACCGTTTCTTTGCATCCTTCTAATTTAATTTAGGAATCTAAATATTGCTTCTAGGATTTTAAATTTAGTCCATTTAAATCATAGTCTCTAAACAGAACAGGGTAGGGATTGATCTGGATTTAAAACGTGTTTTCAATGTATCTTTGTATTTATATTTTCTTTTGTTTGTTTGTTTTTATGTAGTGTGCTGAAGATCAAGAGACTCGTGACCTTGTTAGGCAACATGGAGGCCTGAAACCTCTTGCTACTTTAGTTGCTAATTCTGGAAATAAAGAACTTCTGGCAGCAGTGACAGGAGCAATCTGGAAATGTGCAATCAGCAAAGAAAATGTGACAAAGTACTTGCAATATTTGTTGTCTTGAAATATATATATTGTAGTTAGCACTTCCTGCTTATAACCAACCATAAGAATTTACAAACCATTAGTATTTAAAAACCATTAGGATTTAATAGTTACGTGTAAGTAAAGTCAGGACTATTTAGGTGTTTGTGCGCTTTAGATGGGGTTCTGTCTAATTGTCATACTGAAATTTAAAACATGCTGAAATATTTATTGGATTAGTTGGCAATATAATAATATAAATTTAAGCCAACATTTACTTTTCTAGGATACCTGTAGTTATCATCAACTCTATTCTTTATCTTAATGTCAAATCAGATATATTGGAGTAAAATTAGTTTTTGTGCCATGTTGGGTAAGGATAATGGGAAACACAGTCTAATCCATTTTACAGATCACTAAATTGAGGAAGGATATCCAAGAGCTATTGGTATCTGCAAGCAATGACAGGTCTGCTCTTTTTGCATTTATGTGCAGTGTTGCAATGCAAATATGAAAGGCGGGAATTTTGTCATGGAGCATGATGGACTGTTTGGCATCATAATAGATAGGAACAGATGTGCTTGGAAGTTAGAGAATTACAATTTGTGGTGTTAAAGCAAGCAGCAAAACCTTGTAAAATAAGCCATATCAGAAGTAATTATGGCAGTAATGTCAAGATTTGGCTGAAATGGGTTTGTATATATATGTATTGCCAGTTTCAAATCTATTTACGAATCTTGAATTCCATGATTCCTAATTATAAGACATAGTCATGACTGAGAACTATAAAATTCTGGAAAATACAGAAAGTACAAAACTTCTACTAAATTTATTTATTTAGAAACTTAATTCCTATTGTATTGTAGAATGATAATAGTTCATCTGCCATTAAACCACCCAAAATATGAGACAGAATAATGAAATCCAAATTATTTGAATTTAATTATACTTGAAATAAGTCTGTTAACAAATATTATATTTATATTTAGTCATGAAACTTTGATTTTTAGATTCCGGGAATACAAAGCCATAGAAGCTTTGGTTGGCTTGCTAACAGATCAGCCAGAAGAAGTTCTTATAAATGTGGTAGGTGCCCTCGGTGAATGTTGTCAGGAACAAGCCAATCGGACCATTATCCGTAGATGTGGTGGAATCCCATCTCTTGTTGCCTTACTCACTGGAACCAATCAAGCTCTTCTTGTGAATGTGACTAAAGCTGTGGGGTCTTGTGCAACTGAACCAGAAAATATGGCGTAAGTTTTTCTCTTTATTATACATTACATGCACATTGCCATATTTGTCACATTTGAAATTAGAGCTATGAAAGTCACGTCATAAATAAGAATTACATTTAGCAAATATTTATTATATTTGAAGTAAAGGATTTTAAATAAATAATATTTGAATATTTCAATAACTAAAATATTAAAATAAAACTATAAATTAAGCTTCACAATATTTTGGGACTCTTTTTTCTGTATTCATTGATGATTTTGTGATGGGCTGAATATGAAATTATCCTCCTTTGAATATGGTCAATATAATTTGAAATCCTGATTTTTACTTATATGGGAGCATCAAATGGCACAAGTTGTTTAGTCAACTCATGTTGTTTCGAAGTCTTTTCTAAAATTACGTTCTAATGTATAACTGCTTCTGGTTTCAGAAACATTACTAGAACTGTGGGATTTTGTACAGTTTTGGGGATCTTGAACTTTTATTTTAAATATGATTTAATATAGGGGTTGATAACTTGTAGTCTTAAGATCATAAAGAGACCTTGATATCATGTAGCTTTCAGTTAATTTTGGAAGCTTTTTACAAGAGTGATTTCCAATATTTCTGTGACCAGTCTATCTCTCTTTTGAAGTCTTCTGTAAGGGGACAAAAGATAATCAAAATAAGTTATCTTTGATGGTGTTTTTTATTTATGTATATGAGAGAGAGAATGAGAAAGTAAATGATCACCTTACCAATTCTGGATCTTGGTGGCTTTTCAGCTCCACCATTTATTTATACGTGTTGTGATGGAATGAAGAAGACACAATGACAAAAAATAGGTTGTGTCTCCTTTCCTTAATAAAATCCTAAAAACTAAATTGGTCTCTTTTAATGGAAAGATTTGAGCAGGCCAATAATGACCTACTTTATATTCTGTATTTTATGATGTTAATATGGGATCATTTCAGTTACAGTGATATCAAGTCTCAATTTTAAAAATACTGAGTAGATCATACCAATTTTCAAAACTTTATATTCTTTGTATTCAGTTAGAAGAATGGGATCATTCTGGTAATACATATTTCAAAATACAACATAACAATTTAAGAATAAATATACTGTATAGCAACTTCCAAAGTTTAAGTAGTTTAAGGCTGATAAGCATAGGAATGATCCTATGCTTTTCTCCTGAGGCAGACCATCTGGCTCATTTAAAACAATTTCACTTCTAAAGTTTGAGCTAGAAAGTTGGGTTTCTGGATGAGATTCCAGGATCTTCTGACTAAAAACTATCCTTCACCAACAAATTGTCATTCCTTCTTTGATAATATCTGAATCCTAACTCTCAAAAACAATTACATATTTCTTTCAAGATGCTTTAGGGCAAAATATATTTCTCCTTCTGACCATCTATGCTTTTAAAAATCTTTTACATAGTTGGCATTATATGAGTTTTCCTGAAGTATTTAAACGTTTAGTAGCTGTGCATGGAAACTAAAAAATATCAAACCACACTTACTGTTTTTTCTTCCCAAATTGCACTCTTATGCGTAAACCAAGTTATTGGTTTTTGACTTCTATAATGTAAAACTTAGATCTGAGATTTAAGCATTTCCTTTTTGGATAAATGTTTCATTAAAAGCTTCAAGTAATATTTTGCTTTATGTGGAAAAAGTCTTGACAAGAGCATGTAGTAGTATGGTTCTTTGCTTCTGTACAACCAAGATCAAATGAATATAGCCCTTGTTTTCTCCCACTGTTTTATTTTGCCTCACTTGCTTTTCTTAGTGCAGTGATTTAATTTCCTTGAAAGCACCATTTGTTTTCATGCTTTGGCTGTCACCCAGTGGCAAGATAGGGCAGAAATGTAAATATGGCATAGATGAATGAAGCAAGTTCAATGGAAGAAAGTATGCATAGAATTAATCATTATTATATCATATCTCATAAATAATGGTTAGTTCACATGTAATTTTTATATTAACTGAATACTGGTGGTAGAGTCATAAATTGGCAATGAAATCTAAACAACTTATTGTAGTGCATTAGCAATAGCACACTGCTTGGAGGTTATTGCTTTGTCTCCAGTTTTATACTAGAGTAGACAACCCATGACCTGCTTGGTCATCATTCCAGTTGGTTGGTCATCATTCCAGCAGACAAGTCATCATCCATCATTGGTCATCATTCCAACAGACCAGTTGCTCTAACATCCGTAGTTATGAAAACATTTGAAAGGCTAGTGCTGTCCCATTTAAAAACCACAGATCTGTATAGGATAGTCATACTTCAGGAGTTGACTCCAGAATTTTTAAATGATATTTCGAATTACATCATAAAATGTTTAGATCCCATGCAGTTTGCATACCGAGCAAATAGATCGACAGATGATACTGTTAATATGGCTCTGCACTACATCCTACAACACCTTGAATCTCCAAATACCTACACAAGGGTCCTCTTTGTAGACTTCAGTTCAGCATTCAATACCATCATTCCAGACATTATTCTAACTAAACTAAACCAACTAGCGGGTACCTGAACACACTTGTAAGTGGATCATAAGCTTCCTAACAGACAGGAACCAGCAGGTGAAGCTAGGCAGAATCACATCTGATACCTGTACAATTAGCACAGGGGCCTCCCAAAGCTGTGTGCTTTCTCCACTTCTCTCTCTATACCAATGACTGCATCTCAAACGATCCATCTGTTAAAATACTGAAGTTTGCAGATGATACAATAGTGATTGGTCTCATTTGAGACACTGACGAATCCACATACAGACAGGAGGTTGTACAACTTGTCTCGTGGTATAACCAGAACAATCTGAAACTGAACACACTCAAAACTGTAGAAATGGTGGTAGATTTTAGGAGAAACCCTCCCATACTTCCACCTCTTACAATATAGACAACACAATAGAGTAGACCTTCAAATTTCTAGGTAGTATCATATCACAACACCTAAAATGGACACCTAACATCAAAAACATCATCAAAAAAGCACAACAAAGAATGTTCTTTCTGCACCAACTCAGAAAGCTCAAACTGCCCAAGGAGCTGCTGAGACAGTTCTACAGAGGAATTATTGAGTCTGTTATCTGCACCTCTATAATTGTCTGGCTTGGTTCTGCAGCCCAACAAGACAGACACAGACTTCAGAGAGTAATTAGGACTGCAGAAAAAACAATTACTACCAACCTCCCTTCAGTCGAGGACCTGAATACAGCAGGAGTCAAAAAGAAGGCTGTGAAAATATTTACTGAACCCTTACATCCCGGACATAAATTGTTTCAACTCCTTCCCTCAAAATGACGCTATAGAGCACTGCACACTAGAACAACTAGACACAAGGATAGTTTTTTCCTGAATGCCATCACTCTGCTAAACAAATAATTCCCTCAATACAGTCCAACTATTTACAAAGTTTACACTACTATTACTATTAATCTTCTCATCACTCCTTATCACCAATGCCCTCCCACTTGTGACTGTATGACTGTAACTTTGTTGCTTGTATCCTTACGATTTATATCGACTGTTTCCTAGTATGATTTGATTACTTATTGTACCCTATGACTATTATTAAGAGTTGTACCTGATGATTCTTGTCTCTTGATGAATATATCTTTTCTTTTATATAACTGAGAGCATTTGCACCAACACAAATTCCTTGTGTGTCCAAACACACTTGGCCAATCAAGAATTCTATTCTATTCTATTCTATTCTATTCTATTCTATTCTATTCTATTCTATTCTATTCTATTCTATTCTATTCTATTCTATTCCATTCCATTCTATTCCAGAAATATTTTCTTATCCAGTTCCTCAATACCTTCAACAATTCTTAAAGATTCTGGAAGATATTCAGAGATGTATCTACCATGAAAGTAGTTAATGTTAAACTGTATAGGATAGTCATACTTCAGGAGTTGACTCCAGAATTTTTAAATGATATTTTGAATTACATCATAAAATGTTTATAAGTTTTATGTCATGAAATGTTTTATAAAATTTGCAATATTACAATTCTGTGTCAGGGGTTCTGGATTTTGAACGCATTCGGTAAGCCCACCTTGATCAAAAATGTTTTGCTCTATGATATATTATTTACCCAGTTAAAGGTTATAGGCATAAAAATTTTAGTAGTGAATAAAAAGAATATCAAAGCATGGTGGTGAATTCAAACAAATATCTAAACATGTGATCTGAAAGATATAACTTTATTTAAGCAAAAGGAAAGGAACTGTTGATCATTTGAGTGAAATCAAATAAGTTTTGAGTTAAAGTATGCATCACTCCTTAGTTTATTTTGTTCTTCCAATTTGCAAGAACAACTTTATCTGAATGCCAGTATGTGAAATACAGGCTTGAATCTAATGACAATATATTTTATTACATAGATACCTCAGGCTGATAACAAGAGCACAGGCAATAGAGCATGTGTGTTACTAATTCAACAGAATGTTCTTTTGTTTTATAAAAGTGTATTATGTAACTCACCCAGATTTCCCTTAAGTAGTTTTTTTTTACAGAGCCTTCTCTAACCTGGCATCCTTCAGATCTCTCTTAGCATTCTTAGCCAAGTTGTCTGAAAAATCTGGGAGATTTTATACAAAGCATTTGGTGAGTACCAGGTCACCATAGTCTAGAGCAGTGGTAGTGAACCTATGGCACGCATGCCAGTGGTGGCACTCATAGCCTTCTCTGTGGGGACACGTGCCGCTGCCCCAGGTCAGCTTCATCACATTTCTCCATTGTGTTTCTCACCGTTATTTGCAGGACTAAAAAAATGCGTGAAACAGCATTCTACCTTCGTTGTGGTGCATTTGCTGTTGCTGCCTCCATGGCCTGCCCCTTGCGCAGCACAGTTAAATTTAGCGAGCTTCACAATGGAGAAGATGGGGTCCCATCCTCCTCCTGGAGCCCATTACAACACGGAGCAAAAATGCGACCCTGCGTTGTTGTGGGCTCGCTCTTGCCTCCCAGATGTCAGTTGCTTTTCCTGCAGAACTGCCAGTGTTGGGATGCC